CATTAATGAAGTTTGTGTACTTAGACCGGTAATATTTGGGGTCACAAGTTTTTGCCATGGATATTTTGTGGGTCAGAAGACAAAAAGTTTGGGAACCACTGCTCTAGAGGGCAGCACCAAGACGTTTTTTGACCAAATGTTGAAGATTTAAACTATTTTAGACAAAAATGTTAAATTTAGGTCAAAAATAGATTACCCTTAAGACATGATTTAGACAGTTTATTTGTTAAAAAATGTTGAAATTGGGGTAAGTTACACTTTAATAAACTTTTTATTATTTATATACAGAAGGGTGGCAAAACGAATTTCAGTATTTTTGTGATGCACCCCATCATCTGACACCACTAGCACACACATCTAAGGTTTAAAGACGTTCAAGTAAAACCACATAAATTCCTTTCCATACAAAAGGTTAGAAACGTTTTAAAAATTTATAACTTTTTAGGTCATTTCAAACAAATGTCAAGACAGTCCAGTTATCTGTCTGAGCCTGGTTCTGCTGGAGGTTTCTTCCTGATTAGCAGGGAGTTTTTCCTCTCCACCATTTGCTCAGGATGGGAGACTGTGATGAAGTGATTCAACACAATCTGTAGGCTTCTTCTTTAGATTGTTCTTTTTTTTTCATTGTGACTTGGTGCTATACAAAAAAACTGAATTGAATTTGTCCTGTATTTTTTGTTGATACATTCTTCATGTGAATTTATTTAGTCATCAGCTTTTCAGTAGCCTTCTTCTATGCTTTCCTAAACTGTTGCTACTTTGCCTGCTGTAGACCTTTGTGTCTGCAGAGTTAATCAGAGCCACTGTTCAAAAGACTTGATATTATTGGTCTCTTCGTTTTCTTTATCACCTTGCTCTTTGATTCTTCCTCTTCTGCAGAATCAAAAAACGTGTTGACCGTCAGATGGCATAGATTTACTGCAATTTTACTGAAACATTAAAGGTCAAGCAAAATAAAAAAAAATCCAGCAATCATGCTTTTAATTTGAACATTTTTTTCAGTTTATAAGATTTATATTTATTATTTGTACATTATAGTCCAATATTAAGCAAAATATAGCTCAATTCCAGTCATATGGCTCTGAGGAGGAGGAAACAAAGACTGCTAACAAGCATGTGTTAGCACGTTTTCAATGATTTTCTATGATGCAAAGTATTAAGTCTGGTGGCAAATCTTCATTTATTGCACCAGTAAGAGCAGAGAGGACAAATCAACTTCACAATAAATATAAGTAAATCTGAGGCAAAAAGTTTGGTTAAACAAAAAAAAAATCAAGGAAAAGTGGCAGAAAGTATGGAATGAAGAAAACAAAGGAAGATGGTTTTATAAGATCCAAAGGAAAGTGGGAGAAATGAGAGTAAGGAGAAATAGAAAGGAAGAGAGATTATTAACTAGATTAAAAATGGGGCACACCGGACTTAATAGCACGCTCTTTATAATGAAAAAAACATGAAAATGGAAACTGTGAACATTGTGGAATGATAGAAACAATAGAAAACGTAATATTAATATGTAAAAGATAAGAGAGCCAGAGAAGAGACATGGAGGAATTTAGAACAATTAAAGAAACATTCAATTTATCAAATTTATTACAGAAAGATTCAGGAAGCAAAAGTATTAACATTTTAATTAGATTCTTCAAGAAAACAAAGTTAATTAACAGAATATGATTATACAG